TTCTTGTCTGTACCGGCTAGAAAAAGCATGCTGTAAGGATGATAGACAGGGGTACATTGCGGCGATCCTTTTGGGACTACGAGAAGGAGGGTTCGGATTTATAATTGGCTTTTACAGCGAGATTTAAGCATCTGTGGACTACGCGATATTGCTTAGGATTATCAGATAGAGTCAGATTTGGGGATTCAATAGCCATTGGTTTGCTATTCCATAATTCTATAATTTAATAAGTTAATCAGCTGATATTTATTTCGTTATTAGGAAGTATTTCAACTGGTCACAGTTTCGGGAAATTATTAGCCTAGCAGTTATTAGCACTTGGTCAGGCATCGCGTATTCAAACATGGTGTTTCTTATCCACGATTATACATTTACAGTAGTCGCCGGCTATTAAGCCCACGGTTAATAAGCCCAGCCACTTATTAAGCCCAATTTGGTCTGGGCCCAAAGTTGGCTTAATAACCGGCGACTTCTGTACTAAGCCCACGGTTAATAGGCCCAGCCCCCTATTAAGCGCAATTTGGTCTGGGCCCGAGCTGGGCTTAATAGCCGGCGACTACTGTAGTTTACTTCCATATTTTCGTACTGCTTAACATTTTCCCGACCCCAAAACCACTTGTTAGGTTCATTCCGATTTTACAGGAGACTGCGGCTACTGGTTGGGAGCTGTGGTTGCACTACTTGTAGTTGCCAGGTTTGGGCACGGAACCGGGTGCCTTTCCCGAAATTTAGCGCAAGACACCCTGTACTGTCTCTTGCCCTGAAAACCTTCTGAAAGACAGCTGCTTGACAGGAATCAATACAAGAGTAGCATACATTTTCACAAAACTTCTTAGCCTAGGAGAGTCAGCAGCGAAAATATTATTTTGCAGGAGCACCTTCTTCCGTTGACATGCATAATAGTCATTTTTGCCAGTGAGCAGACTTACATTCAGAGGTCACCAAACGAGCCGCCTCGACGAATTCGTTGAAATCAATGTAGCCGTCGTTGTTGAAGTCAATTAAGAAGGCTATCTTTTCTATCGCCTTTGCGTCGAAACTTTTGCCTTGGCTAGAATGCAGGTGCTCACAGGTCGCACAAAAGTTCTTCACACTAACGAGTGCTACAAGAATAGGAAAATAAAGTAGGAAGAAAGAAGAACTCCTGATGCGCTTATCGACCTCATTCATCGTAGGTGACATAGGGAATACTGTCAAGCACATGTCTAAAGTCAGCCAAGGTAAACTCTGGAATGGAGTTTTGAAGAAAGGTAGACACTGAATCTGCTTCACAGGAAATAATAGTTTTTTCTTAGTATCTGTTGCATGGCAACTGGATGTGTAAAGCAACTGTTGCTTTGATACGAATTTTAACATACGATTATTTAGTAGGTGCGATAGGGGATAGTGAGCAGGTTGCATGCTGCCAAAAAAATATATAAAGAATAACCTGATTATGATCGTATTGAAGCTACTGTTTAAATTCTAGTTGCACTTGAATAAAGAAGAAAGAGGCGGACAGAACACCGAAACAAGCTGTTTTCTTTTCCTGAGCTTTCGAACTCGTACAGTCATTAGTCACTCAACGAGCTACACTGCAGTCCTGTATGTGACTGCGCAGCGCTTTATATGCAAGCGGACTGATTGAGTTCTAACCAGAGGCCCAGGCTTCAAGTAACTCGACCCATAGCCAGCATGAAAATGAACGACCAATCAAACTCATGTGAGCACTCTGGAATACTGCGTCGTATTCTGTGCCGTAACTGGTTGTGTGATGGAGCGAAAAAGAATTACCAAAACTGATCACTCGGATTTTTGAACTGGGTCCCAAATTTAAATTCCCTGCATGAGAATACTTGCTCATCCCTGAGGCAAGACAGGTTGTCAGTTGATGGAAGCCTGTGCCTCCGATGGGAAGGCAGCCAATCCATATGTCGATCTGGCACAAGCATACAGAGTCCTGAACAGTCACCTCGAAATATGTGTGACACTAGTCGTTGAGTGGCTACTTATCCCCTATGACTATTGCTAATTCTCTACTCGCTCATCGTTAAAGAGAATAGTTCTTTCGTTAAAAGTATGCATTTCAACGACAGCTTCTTTTTGTCGTTAAAAGTGTTTTTATTACCAGTATATTTCGAAGGGGAACCTACACTCACAAGTATTTTTGATATTTTCACACTAGGCATCAGAGACTTTCACTGAAGCACGATGGAATCACCTCGTGGGTACATATATTGATGCTGCATATCCTAATAGATATGGATCCCCTCGCATACTTCACAAGAGGGAGTACTTTATTTAAAATTAGAGAGCTCCACTAATATTCGCGAGACTGCTTCCGCAATACAAAAATTTTCAAACTAAGTAAGGTCAAATTATCTGGTAATTTTAACAAACACAGTAAACGTGCAGACGTTGGACAAGCGAGCATTCCGCGATCAGTGCTTGAAAGCATGCTCATCTGAGGCCATTATCTTTTTATCCCCCTTGTAATCTTAATTAAGTAAAATGAGGCCTAAGCGGAAGCAAGACGGATGAAGCAGCATGGGACAAACATCAGGCAGGGATGATTGTCTTCTAAAGGCATCGGCTGCCAGTAACCCCAAGCAAGTGTATGTTTTAATTTATCCCTAAACCGCAGAAATCAACTGGTATTAGGAGTTATCAAGATTTCCGCGTCAAGCATCCGCTACACGACTAAGAAGTCTGCACCCCAACTATGTTTGAAGACAATTTTCTGTTTTTGAGATTCCACACTTTCCCTAGCCAGCCATCAAAATGGTCGAGCAGGGGAAAATACAGACGTGTTCAAACATGCTTGCTATATTTCTAGATTGTTCTCGGTTCTCAATTACTCAACCTCGAATTTTTAATAGAAATGAATTTCGGATACTCATGCTAGTTTACATTATGCGGTTTATTAAGCGGAGCAGTTATTAATAGTTAAGTGCCTACGGTGTGGACTGTCGTTAGGCCTACGTTTTTGGTCTATGCATATCCTTCAATCATCGGTCACCGAGATTATGATTAGGTTAAGGTGAAGTAGTAGTTACTTCCGCTGTTCAAGGGCTAACAAAAGTCCCTTCAAAATAACGCTTCCCTTGTTAAGATAGTCATCCTAAAGCTTATTTACGGCTAGACCGAAAAGACGCACGATAAAATATCAGAATTGTTATATAAACGTAGACATCTGGGCCGAATAACTTAAATGTACGGAGAACTCACCAACACCTTCGTTGTCAAATTCCTTGAAAATTAAAGCCATCTGATCGAGGTCGCCGTAGCAGTCACTCAGAGCTTGTTTCTTCTAAAGTTTGTAGAATTTACCTCATAGAAGGATTTGCATTTTTTGAAAATCAAATATGCATAAGGAAACAGACTGGCTTCTTGAGAATGCAAGCATTTTGACAGTATGACTAGGTAGACGCTGACGTTGGCATCGTCAATATACTGATGCTGTAACTTACCATATTAATAGCCCAGGTACTAGCTAAGAGGCCCAGACACGTGTTTCGTCGATAGTCTGCCGCTGCTCGACAGGGCTGCGAGGGTTCCGGCTCCTTAGTGTGTCCCCCAACTTTCCCTGTTTGCTTTCTAATTGATATACCGCTTTTCAAAGTTCAGCTTTTTGATTTCCTTGAAAACTAGTTTCTAAGGAAATTAAGGAGCGGAAAGTATCAAAATAGTCATTTTTAGGAGGGTTTAACAGACTTGCTTAAATCACTTGACCCACGTATGAGAAGTTCGCGGCCTCGGTGGCAGTCAAACCCACACAGCAGGGAAGGCTTTTGCGCAGCCAACGCGAGGCTTACCATGCGATACTTGGCTAATTGAGCAAAAAGGTTGTTTAGTATACGTACATAGAGGAGGGAGATCAACAATATCAGTCCACTTTCTTATAGCAAATAATTCTCATTTTTCTCCTACCACCTCGCGTAGTCATTATTCACGAACTTGACGTTTACACATTGGGTCTGTGTTGTACGGCAACCGCTGTTGCCGTTTGCTTGTGATCCTTTGTGTGGTGGCCCAGAAAACTTAAAGCTTTTCTGGTTTTTCCCACTTTTGAAAACGAAGTTTTTTCTGGAGTACCATTCGCTTTTATCGAGGTTATCATATAAAGAAACGGCAGTCGCCTACTGTCTTCTGTTTCCCGGATGTCAGGGAAATCATAGATTTAACTGATGTCAAAGTGTAAACTTTTTTCGTCACTGTCCTCATTAAATCGTATTTTTCATGAAGTTTTATCGGAAGAACAATTGGGAATACCCACAAAATGAAAGCTGGAACACTCAGACTATAAGTTCTGTTAGTGGTCTATAATCATGTGATCTCATGGGTGTGGATTTCTTTTTGCTTCTATTTGCAGTAGATATCAAATTAATACAACCTCGGATCTTCCCAATTCGGTGTTTAGAATCTCCGGCTGACAACGTCAACTGCCTCAGGAACAGGTATTTCAATCTACATTTACTCAATGGTGCTCACTGTAAAACACGTATGAACTTCAGCCGTATCTGTATACTTATAGAAAGAGTGTTATGCTACATGAAAGGAAGAGAGTAGCAAGCATAAATAGGACAGAACTTACCATTATTTTGGTGTTCTGATGCCTACGCGAATCAAACATTGTCAGGTAGATAACATGGGTATTAGGATTAGTGACTGAACTTGCAACCAGAGCATGTCGGAGTATCCGCCAAGGTAAGTTGTAACCGGCAACCTTCACCATCACGTTGCACCACTGGTTTATGCTGACCTCACCTGAGACAGGTAAAACAGGACGTCAAACCAAATGATGACAAACGAGAGTGAGGAGGACATTTTTCGGAATGGCTCATGGTTATCGTAGATCAGGTCATTGATTGGCGAACCACACTACTTAGGAAATCCGGTAAGGTTGACGCATATGGTCCCCTAAACTGGAATACGAACGCTTCTTAATGACCATAGTTCCAGGGTGCATAAGTATTTTGGTGTCCTAATCCTTACACATGCCGTAAACTATACAATATGGCCCAGAAATAGTGTAACTTTCATGACGAAGTTTGCTTTGGCAGTTTAGCATATAGTTGGTCACGGTAGTTTGATCCACCGAGTGGATCTCATCTAGGGAAAGCCAAACCATAAAGTTTTTTGGCGCAAAATGCAGCAAAAAATGTTTTGAGCGCATTTTGTTTTACAGCATCAAGTTTTCGAAGGTTGTAAGCAAACCTGGTCATATATTATCGCGAACATCTACGTAAAACCCAACATATTAAATCAAATCATGCAGAAGTATATTTTTTGTACACTATAATTTCCGCTTATACGTAATTTGGAAACGTAACATACAGAAGAATAATAAATATGGCAAAAAATGTGACATATATGGTCACCCTTTGTGCATTCGCAGGCCCAGAACAGAGTCTGGAGGTAATCCACTATGGTGGAAAGTAATTCAATAGATAGGTGAGCTGCTTCCTTTTCAGTTAAAGTGAATCATTCATCTTCAAGTAAATTTTAAGAAAAACTTGTCAATAATTTCGACTTTTATTTGGACATTATCTAGAAAAAAGGTAATATGCAGAGAAGTTCGTCAGCAGAATATATAAGTAAAGAAATTTTAAAGGCGTAACCTATTATATAAAGTTTATTTTATTAATCTTAGGAATAATAATATCGGAATTTTGATGCGGACGTTCTTTTTTGCTCGAAAATGTGTTTTACTCTTTGGTCGAATTTCTAAATATGGCCCACATGGCCATCTTCATACAAGCAAATATCCAAAAACTAATTTCTTCGGCAAATCCATTTAATCGATATCTTATTTTGAAGGTTTTGATATAAACCTTCAACGAAATATTGATTTATTCACTTAAGCTTACAGATACTGAAAACGTTTGGAAAGTTTTTCGCATTGAAAGGTCCATTTGTTAGTAGTCGTACTTCACTAGCAACAATGTTTAAAAATGCTTGGCTTAAAAATTTTTTTTGATAGAAAGAAAATGGTATCGTTAACCTGTAAAATGACAATAAAATTTAAAGTTATTGCTCTAATTTATAGCTGTTTCTACGTCTATGGAACTTGGGAATTTTTAAGAAAGTTTCGTTTTTCTAAGCAAACAATTAGTACTTCTTATATTTGTTTAAAGTATCAACATTTCCCAAGGTTGTTCATTATGACTTCTAAGTTTTCGTACAGGCGTAAATGTCAGTTTGCGAGTGCTTATCAGTATTTTGCAAACTTCGGTATGTTCCACTAATTTTGGGTCGTACTGTGCATAAATCAGAGAATTAAATTTATTACTACCCCCCGCCTAAACTGCGCCTACAGTTAACAGTAAACCTAACCCTAACTCTAATCTTAAACTTGATCCTAAAATTCACCTAAAAGCCGAGCTTCAAATCCTCGTCTTCACGCATTTGGCACAGAGCCGTCTGCATTGTGGACGGTTTCTATTTTCGTGTCTTGTTTAGGGTAACCTATCAGTAATCCTTCCTGTATATACTTCCTTTAAAAACCGAATTTAAAAAATGAAGCAAATATGAATGAACGCGAATGAATGCAAGATAAATCGGGTAGAGTCCTAGTATGAATAGAATACAACGTTTTCCAATGAAACTTAATAAACGTGAAATGCCAAGTAAAGAATAGACGCTACAGAGCTGCCAGAATACACCTTTTTATTAATGTTCCTTACCGGTTTTTTCTGGATCATAAATATGAAATGCGTCCAAAAGCTCTTGCTTCTTAGCCAACAGTCTTTTGCACAGCAGCTGAAATGCAGCGTCTTCGGATCCACTGGAAGAAACAGAATACACGAAAACCATGCAATGTATCATCTTAGTAAAATTTTTGTACCCCATTAACATTCCTGGAAAAGATGTCAAGTAATAAAATGTTCATTTGACGCACATTTGAAACTACGGTTTGCTTTTACCAAAAGGGAGAGTGGAACAGTTGTCAGAATTTGCCCATTTAAGCAAATATTATTGTTCATGAATGTATGCACGCCCAATTGTACTATTGGTCCACACTAGAGGCTAACAGGACACTTCAATTGATGTCAGGACAGGAAACGTTTGGAGTCCGCTGCAGATATGGGAGAAGTAAGTGAGTTGGGGGAAATGGAGATGTCCCCAGGTGGTTGAACATGCACAGACAGTTGGAAGAAAGGAAGCAAAACGTTAACTGGATGTGCTCACAAGGGTTGCAACGCTCACGAATAACAACAGGCTAGAGTAATCGTTTGCTTACTCGTAGTCAGACAACAACTACAAGGACATATTCTTTCATATTCAACCCATTGCATTTGTGTGGGTAAATTACTTGTTCATGCATCTGGGAGAGCCTTTTCGGGAAAATAAATGGGTGAGCAGCTACTACGTCCCTTACCAAGATTGCTATTGAACGTTAAGCAGTTTTTGACCCGTTTATGATCGATCAAACCAACACGGTTTTATTTACGGAGACCGGCGCTGAATATAGGAGAACCTGGGTCTTATTTATACGTCCAACGAGAAAGTAGAATACAAGGGTGGGAACGGTAGTACTAGTGGTTTTATCAGTGGAGCAGATATCAAGGCCATTAGTTTAATCTGAAGATGGCCTTGAAAATACTTGATTTAGCAATATACATTTGTCTTATTACTGCAGTGCGGTGTTAAAAAGGATGCGTGATATGAAATATGCAGATTAGGGGACGTCTCAATGAGCGAAACCGGGAAATCCAAAGTTTTGGTTGAAGATTGGATTAGGTAAGACAGACTGCAGCACGCAAAAATATCCTTTAACTCTAACCACAACCTCTCTCCTAGGAATTCCATTAACCCCGGTGTAATATGAATATGACACAACTACCTAAATCAAATATGTAGGCATGTTATTGATATCAAAATTAAGCACTGACATGTCGGATGGCCGCATAGGGGTGTTAGTAATCTTAGTTGATACGTGGTTGGAAAGCAAGTACAGCCTGTAAAGCATCTTATGTCCAAAGATGCAAATGTCTAATGCAGAAATTATAAAAATGTCTGACAAATCGAGCGAATAGACTTCATGTTCCGACGCCCTCGTGTATAATAAATAAAATCATTCGACATTTTCTTATTCTGCATAGTATGACGACCTAAGAGTTTTAATCCTTGCACCGTGTTTGCAAAAACGGCATTGCTAGTATTTTGAATAAATGTCATAGCCTGCAACAAACACGGGCAATCTAAACGTTTGACTCAAAGCATTTTTGCAGATATTCCCATGTTTATCTTGAAAAGTCTACTTGGCAAACGAGTGTGTGCCGAAAAGACTTTTAAAAGCGTTTTGATGACTTGTCACATATGACTACACTTCTGCCGCCTTTCTATTAGCGTGAATGTCTTCCCATTTTGGATAGAGCACTGACGATTTTTTTTAAAAAAATGGGAAAATGGTCACATGCCGGTTTATTTTATCAACATTCACAAGTGAAAATTTGAAGCTAGTACTATACGTAAATACTACGTCGTATTGAGCTCTCCACTGATTGCTGCAGGATGATTTGACCAAGCTACTCAGGTTTCCAGAAAATGTATACGAGACTTGCTATGAAATGCCAGGCTAGCATTTGGGGATAAAATTTAATACCCTAATTAGCATCGAGGTCATTGGAAAATGTTATCAAGCCTATGGAAAAACATAATTTAATTGGTCTCTTCTCTCCCTACTATGAAACCAGCAGTATCGAAAAGTATTGTGAAAATATGCTCTTCCTTCGCAGACTCCTGATTTGTTTGAAAACATCATTGCAAGAAGCCTGAAAGATTGTAGTTTAGGATCAACTTGCTGTACTATTTTAATTTTACGCCGTTTCATCATTTAATTGTCTTTCTATCTGTGCATTTCTGCGCCACTGTTGACGATAATATTAGACATCTTAGCACACAGTATCATGCCAAACTGATGCCGGTAAACCTTGCCTCGAATAATCGACTGACAGAAAATGCTTTTACGAGGCCGGAGGAGAGTAAAAAATTCAATCAAAACGCACTTGCGATCGACTCGATCCTCGGTGCCGGATTTTCCTGTTTTAAACTTTACCACCTTGGGCTGTATAACAAGTTCAATATTCCTGTCGGTGCCATTGCCCTTGGCTTTGCGCCTGCGAGTACTGCGAGTAAAAAGCTTCGAGGCGTCTGACGGGGGAGAGGTGAGCAGTTGGGAGGAGAAGGAAGTGGAACGGTCATCAGACTTGGGTTTGGGGCCCTTGGCAGTGTGCTCGGTAAGGGCTGTCGCTTCTACTGGTGTCAGGATGGTGGTTCTGTGTTCAGGAGTCTTGTTTTCTGGAGTGAATTCGTAGAAACGTTGAGATACCAACTGAATGAAAGCGCCCATGTTTGTGTTTTGGCCGTAGTAGTTTGATGCCGAGAAGATGGTCAAGACGGACTGCTCGTGATCCAGCTTCCAGCCCTGCGGACAGCACTCATGAGAGCGCACCAGGAGTCCCATTTTCATCTGACTCAAACGGCTGCTTGTCACATCGGGACCAAAATAACTGCCACCACCGCGTTTTAGGTTGGGTCGGCAACCGGACGCGGTTTGAGGATCACTCCAGAGCAAATCTAAAATCTGATGGTGGATACGCATGAGGCATGGGGAGCAATAACTATGCTGGCCTGCAATATTCTTTCATGGCAAGCTCCACCTTATGTGAATCCTTCGGGCGCATTCTGGCAGTGTGGTGGCATTGAAAAGAAGAAACTTTATAGACACAGACACTCCCATCTCTATTTAGCTTTAGTCCCTCGCCTTGCCACTCGTATGGACCTCTTTGCTCGTGCATAATATCTGTCGATAGTCAAGTAGTCAGAATGGAAGCTCTTCAACTGATTGCTCGAGTTGGATTACGAGAAACGGTATTCGAGCTTTGGAACACTCCCTTGGTAAAAGGCGTGATCTAATATGTCTTATGCGCCGGGTTTCGACCTGTAGCGTCTCATCTCGCGTCTCTATGTAAATATATGCTGCCATTTTTGGCAAATTTTATCTATTGACTTCACTGGACTGCCTTCACAACGGAATCGCGAGGGAGTAAAAATGGCGATATTATATACGCTACTAAAACATTTAAGTGGCAATTATGAACTTTGTGATTTTCGCAAACCCACACTGCAGCATTAGTTTCTTGTGGACTACTGTTAGTTCCTTCGGTACGATTGCTCGCAGTCTGTATATAGGAAGCTAGTCTTGCAGCCATGTTTCAAAACAGTATGGGCTCCGGAATCAGAAATGATAAAAATAAAGTTCTACAGAGCCAGCACTGATTCTCCATAACAGAGTAGCCAACCGAAATTTGAACCACCAGTGTTTCGAGTCGCTGCTGGGTGGAAATCCTTCTGACAGGCGAATTTTCTAGTGTTAATTAGTCAGCAGGATCTGTAAGAAAATAATTGCTAGCACAATATGAAAGAATAGGCCGCTGGTTGATTTATGTGTAGAGACCTGGAGACAGTTACGAGGGGAGGCGAAAAACAAGCACTCCTCCAGTAGCAGATCAGAGGACTAAAGCACTTGCAGGGCTACAACTTGTGCCACTAAAGATGGCTTATGTTCGACTGAACTCTTTGAAATCTTGCATTCTGCTTTGAACAGTTCCTCGCAATAAGCTTGGTAAACCGAATTTTAATTTTTCAGGACCACAAAAACCATTGATTTGTTTTAATAAAGGGATGCGCTTTTTTTCTGGAAATATTACTCCACTATTTACAGCATAAGATAGGTGACTCGGTGACAATTCCATTATATCACAAATTTGAAGCATCTTTTCCCAGGTGCAAATTTTAAGATTGCTTATACAGCAGAATTTATTGGAACTATATAGTTCGCAAGTGCTCATCAGCTGCGTCTTCTTGCTGTATAAAGTGAGTAACGAATGAGCGAATACAAAAATTGAATTCAGAAAGAAGAGGTCATAGATACAGTTCAGGAATGTCAATTAGTAAATTGAGCTAATAAGTAAAGTAAGCAAGTGAAACACTGTGGAGAGTGAGATAGGGGAAAATACGTTTAAAAAAATGCGGGCAGGGGGAGATATGAATCAGGGAGTCGGATGTTTACATAAGTCGGGTTTTGACCGTCGTATACAGGCTGCCTTCAAGTAGCGCAAAATATGAGTTGTTCGTGCCCGAACAAGCACCCGGAAGGATGTTTTGGGGTCTACAAAATGGCCCGTATCCAATAGGTGTTCAGAAATGAAAGAACGGGGAGTCTCATTCGTTACTCACTTTATGCAGCGAGAGGACGCAGCTGATGAATACTCGCGAAATTTATGGTTTCAATAAATTCTGCTGTATATGTAATCTTCAAATTCCATTGTAATTGTTTCTGTCATAAAATGCAGTTGATACTGTTGTTCCTGGTTTGCCTGAACATGAATATGCACGGTGCGTGATCAGCATTCTTTCAATGTCTCTATCACATAAAATCGAATCATAGTGAGTGAAAAACGAGAAACCAAGGCATATTTTAATACACACCCATAATTATATTTGAGGCGACCTTGGGTGCAGTGGCCAACCAGATAGATTTTGTTTAGTATCGACTGCCTTTACTTACGTTGGTTCCTTTCCACAGTCAAACAGAACTTCCTGCACATAGAGTGTGCATCCGAGTGTGCAAAATCAAAACAACCCAGCTCTGGCTTTTAACGCTAGAGGAGATAACGTCTCTGGTGAGGTCGCAGTGTCAGATGCAGTTTTGTCGGCGTCCTAATTGGGCCATTACTAAAGACGACGACAGTAACAAATTACATCCCCCGGAAAAATGCAAGTTGAGGGAAGTACCATGTCACAGCATTTCTGATCTTCCAAAAGCGCCCTAAATAAGTCAATCTTATCTTCCAGACTTATTTTCTATCATAATTTTAATTCGTACATATTCTTACTAGTGAAGACCCAGTTGTCTACCCAACGACAGAAAGACCGTAGGCCGTTACTTTCTTGCATCTGCATGAGAGTCATATTATAAACAAGGGTGTCAAATTTATCCCGAAGCAGTTCATGCTATCCTTCGCTGACTTACCTGTCGCCAGTCATCAAGAGAAACCGCATTTTCTCCTTCCAGTTGCGGTTGAAGTACGGAGACGAACTGAAGATTTAGTAGAAATAGAGAGACTAAATTTTAAGTTGCAGGATTCTTTTAAGTTCTTAAAACAACCCAAACTGCACAAGTAATCCTTCCGCAGGCAGGCAACATTTATTCGCCTGATTTTGGTCCTGAGAGACAGCAATGGCTATCATCAACCGTTGAGTTATTTTAAAATTAAAGCATCATTGAAACTCAAGTTTTCGCCAAGTGTAA